AGTGGCAAGTTCACCATAGAGCAGGATCTTAGGGAGGCGGTGGTCCTTCATCCTGGAGACGTGCCCTGCCCATCGCAGCTGTGTTCTCAGCAACATGGCCTCAATACTTGTGACAGCTGCTTGTTCTAGAACAGATGTATTGGTCACATAATCTGATCAGTGGATGTTTAGGATTGTACGGAGGCAGCGTTGATGGAAGCGTTCTAAGAGATGCAGGTGGTGGTGGTAGATGACCCATGATTCGGAACCATATAAAAGAGTAGACAGCACAATGGCTTTGTAAACACTGATCTTGGTACTTTTCTTCAAGTGTTTATTATGCCATACTCTTTTATGGAGTTTTCCGAAAGCACTATATGCCTTTGCTAACCTGTTGTCTATCTCTCCGTCAATCTTACCATCCGAGGAGATCCAGAACAAGTGGTGGATCAGTCTAGCTGAAAAAACTCAATTATGCGCAGATACAGGTGATCACAGAGGATTCTGAGGCCTTGAAAACAGCATACGGGCCTACATACCAGGTCCAAAGCCCTCTACTCAGCACAGATGGTCAAACGCTTCTGACAGATAAAACCTCCATTCTGAATCGTTGGTCTGAACACTTTCACACTCTCTTCAGTACCAACCGTGTAGTTCAAGACTCAGCAATTCAGCCCATCTCACAACAACCGGTGAAGAATGAATTGGATACTGCCCCCACTTTGGGAGAAACTCTTAAAGCCATACAGCAGGTGAAAATCAGCAAGGCAGCTGGGGTTGATGGGATTCCACCTGAAATACGGAAACATGGGGGCCAAGCACTCCATGCTAAATTTCACGACTTTGTGGTGCGCTGTTGGGAACTAGGCGAACTACCATCAGACCTTCGTGATGCAGTCATCATCACTTTGTATAAGAAGAAAGGATTTTGATATTATAATCACCCATCAAACCAATGTATGGCAGGTAACAAACCAGGCCATGGTCTTCTGTATGATTTTACATTGAATTTCAATCATTTCCATCTTTTTATATCCAGGAACAAAGCATTCCTTTTCTCAGCTGTTCCATGCACACACCACATACTGTGAACAAGATGCTTCCTCCACTCACTACAGGCCACACTGCAGAGCATCACACCAGCTACCCCTTATGTCAGGGCTCAGAACATACAGCACATTCCTCTCAACAGGCTGTAATTTCACTTACTGCCATCCCTGACAGTGGCCAATACTGACTAATTTGGGAAAAGCATAGCACCACCTCTCTTTAGTCAGGGTCAGTTCAAGGTCTTTCTGAACCAGAAGTGACACTACTACCTTTTTGGGTTTGTGGGCGTTTTTTTTCCTTTAGAAGTACCTTCTCTTGCTTGTTTTTAAGCTTGCAGCCTGAAGACTTAATTTTCCTTTATTATTTATTAGTAAGATATGAATTATTTGCTCTGTATCTTCCCATCCACTATCTCTCTGCAAAGAGCTATCATATGCAATACCTCTTCCTTGAAATCTATTATTTAAGGGGAAAAACTTTTCTGTCCTTATGTGAAAGCTATTCCAATGATCCTTGTTCCTTTGCTGAGTTTTTTCCAAATTCTACTTTGCTTTCTTTTTGACAAGGTGGTCCAAAATGCATGCAGTTTTCAAGATCTCCATTAATTCAGATACCAGTATGATGGGGTTTTCTTTTTTTTTTTTTTTTTTTTTTTTCCTTTTTGCTCTTTCTACCCCTTCCTAACATTGTTCTGCTTGCCTTTTTGACCCTATTGAGTATTGAGCTGACATTTTCACAGGACTATTCAAAATGAGTCCAAGATCCTTCCTGAGTGATAACAGGTAACATAGAGCACATCGTTGTGCATGTATGATTAGTGCATGTGCATTATTTTGCATTTATCAATTCTGAATTCCCTCTGCCATTTTCTCTCACTAAGTCATGCTGAACTGCAAGATCTTCTGCATTGCTTTACAGCCAGCTTTAGATGTGATGTCTCCATAAGCTTTGTCATTCCTCTCATTCTCCTCAGACTGCTTTTAAACATAAAAACACAGACAGCTTCACTGTGCCAGGTCAGTGATCCCCCTAATCAAGCATTCTGTGCAATATTGGCCAAATAAAAAGATGCTCAGGCAACAGCATCAGAACACAGCCCTTGAATACCTTCCACTCTCAACCACTCCCGAGTTTGCATGCTGTCTTTATAGCATTGGCTTGCTTTTCTGCCCTGCTGCCTCCTTGGACACAGGCAAACCCCTAGCATTTGTCATGTCCTCGAGTGTGGAATTTCAGAGCTTAGTGACACAATGTGCAAAGAACCACCTCCTCTTGTTCTGAACCTGACACCCACCAGCTTCCTTTGGCACCACAGACACTTGGGCTCTAGTCACCCTCATAGACACCCATGATTTGGTGGACTTCTGTTTTTGAAGACTGAGCCATTTGTTAGCTATTTCAGAACAAATTCACAGTTTCTTTAGGCTCAGGCTCAAAACTGAACTATTGAGCAAAAGGACTACAACATCAACATTGTCCAATGCTTTTCTGGAGAAAATTGTAGTGGGTATTTTGTCCCTGATATTTGATCCCCTTACTCTCATTCAAATGCAACTTACAACAGATCAGTGACTTTCTTGTCCCAAGAGCAGTTGTGACAATCCTGCATCAGTTAATAAATTTGACTTTGCATTTCAACAATCAATAACACATCTGTAAATTAAAAGTATAGTAAGAATAATTGTGCAAAGTGGGAAACTGAAAAAATTAAACTAAAATTTTTAGAAACGGCCTTCTGTGTTGCTTTTCCACTTGGCTTTCTATTGTCTTCTCTTTGATTGGGAATTTTCCTCACCCAAAAAAACAAGCCTAAGTAACATTTTTCACTGGCCAGCAAAGTGAAAGTATCAAGAGCAGGAGTCATGAGGTAGACTACCAAAAACTGCACAGGAAGAGTGGATAAAATTTACACTATTTTTTCTATACTTTTGTATACATCGTTATTTGGGCCTTTTAAAAAGAAACCGAGATCATCCTTGTATACACCCTAGAGATTACTTTTTTCCTGGTCATTGTGGAAAGTCGTGGTTGAAGCAAGTGAATTTTACGCTTAATTCCGAGGACAGGGAGGTTTATAGTCACTCTGATGTGTTCCAGGAATCAATCTCTCAGTTGTGGGCTAGCTGCAGAAGCAGTTTGTCTCTCCCATTCATTGCCCATTTCGCCAACAATGCCATTGTTCCAGTGGAATGCAGCTGTCATGAGCAGCCGTGACTGCAGAAGGTGCTCCCTCCGGCAGCCTGGGCCACCGCCATCAAGCATTGTAAAATCTAAGACCAATACCAAAACCTTGAACTTGCCTTGATACTCAGCAGGGTTACAGTGAAATGAGCAGAGCTTCAGGGAGATATGCTTTCAGCAGCCTGTATTAGGGAGGAGATGAATTGCTCCATTTTGCGTCAGCTTTGTAAATCTATACCATATGACTGGCTACTAAAAGTCAGTAGCCAACCGGAGCACAAGGATTTGTAGCTTCAAA